GTTAGAAAAAAATTGTTTTTGTCTTTCACGGAAATTTGAAATACCACTAGCCCACTCATTTTTTAAAAATAGTTTTCCTATTCAGCATTCTAAAATGGCAATTCTTTATGTGCTGATAAGGAGTGACCTCTGAAGTAGACTCAGAACAAAGCAAGGTGTGGAAGAGTGTCTTCTTTGCTAGCACCCTGTGCTCCCCAAGGAGCACACAAGAAAATGACAACCGCGGTCCTCTCTGGGAAAAGAACTGGATAGCTTGAGGATGGGAGGGAAGAGACTTGTTTTTTCCTTTTTGAACATTTTGAATTGTTCTCCATGTGTATTCTATGCAGATAGCATCCACTGGAAAAAAATAATAATAATTGTTTCCACTTTCCAAATGCAGTTTCATTTCAGAAAATTAGTGATCTTCTTAAAATGTGCCGTGATTTACCCTCCTTCTGTAGATAGATTTATGGCTTAGGTGATTTTACTCTGAACTCCTAGACTAGGGGGTGAATTTTTTAAGGAGATTGGTCTCATAGGCACTTAGTGCATTCTGAGCTGACAAATGCAGTCTGGCATTAGAGTGAGGATGATTAAAATCTCAATGGTGAATCACTTTTAAGTCATCTTCCTTGCCTAGGAGGATTGGTCCCTTTCTGCCCTAATAACACTGATATTTGGTGTATTAACTTCTTCCCCAGTTGAGCAAGCATCTCCTCTCAATAACTGGTGAAGGATACATTCACAGTCTCTTAATAAATTACCAAGACACATTGATGGATATGTATACATGTCTCCCAAGGGTCTTTATCAACACTTAATATCTAAACCATAGACTCTTCTAAGATGTCAGAGTGATTGTGCCTATTATCATCTCTACCTTCCCTCTTGCATCACCCAAAAATGAATCGGAGCAAGTTTCATCATTCTACCATTTCCAAAAGTAGGCTGAGCTATGGTCATTCAGCTTGGTTTGAGAAATACCTCTTGGCGCCGAGAAGAAAAATATTCTTGGAAACGACTGTGAGCTATGAGTTTCTTGACCCTTGAGATAATCATTCCTCACATAAGTGATTCTCCCATCCTCTCTTCAAGATAATTGTAAGTCCCTACACTAGAATAAAGAACCTTTGGGTTATCAGCTTGGAAAATAGACATTCATTAAAAGGAAGCATGGAAGCGCATGCTCAAGTTAGAGCTATAACCCCAAGTAGAGAAGTTTCAAATAAAGGCCTATGTGAAGGAGCAAGAGGGAGGATAGAATTACAAAACAAAGAATTGGTAGCCACAGGTAATCTCCAAACTCAGTGCCTTCAACTGTATACCCCACAAACACCCTTTTACCAACATTGCTGAGAGCTACATGAAGCTATTTGGATGCCATCTCTTTTTCTGGTGGAAAATAATATTGGGGAACAATGAGGTAGCCAAAAGGACAGGCTCCATGAGGAAGAGGGGGGAGAGCTAAGAGTTTAGAAAATCCAGAAGCCACTGTCCTTTTTAATTAAGAGAGTCCATAGTGGGACCTCAGGTAACCCTCTTCAGTGTTCTTTCCTGGAGCGTCCCATGGACAGAGCAGCCTGGTGAGCTACACACCATAGTGTCGCAGAGTTGGACATGACTGAAGCGATTTAGCACAGCCCGTAGTGGAGCATCACATCTCTAAATCTGTTTGACTTAACTTTGAACCCTGATAGACACACTCATTGACACAAATTTTTTGTCTGTGCTGGACAGATTCGCAGGGATCAGGTTCAAATCCATAACTTTCAAAAATTCAGTTTTTAAGTCCTGCACCTTTGAGGATGTGACTTCAGTCAACACCTACTTCAAGAACTGCACATTTATTGAAACTGTTTTTAACAAAACAGGTAAGTGTGCCACTTAACCCTGCCTGGATCCTCTTCACAGCCCTAGTTCTTGGCAGAAACGTGATACCTATTTGGTGATAGATGTGGGCAGACGTTTATGGGGAAGTGAAGATTGAAGTACAAATGAACGAACTCCCCCCATCAGGTTGGATCAAAGCTGAGCTTGTAGTGACTGTTTCTGTCAGATTTAATGCAGATGGAACAGGCTGAGCTCAAAGTTGGTGAAAAAAATAGGCCTGTGGTGAATAATTTTTAAAGCAGAGAATTAACTTGTAGTCGCTTGATAGACTTGATTTCAAAATCTGTTGATAGCTTAAGTGAGCTGGCCTGAACTACAGTCTACAGAGATGGACAGTACATGCTCAATCACATATAATCTTTTAATTCAATCCATTTAATGGAGTCTGGGAAACTCCCCAGGAAAAAAGAGGAGGGAAACAAACATTGACTGAACACTGACTATATGCTAGTTCCTACCTCAGGTTATTAGACACTCATTGTCTTGTTTAATTTTCACAATAGCTGAAGCTTCAAAAAATGCAGTAATTTGGCCACAGTTGTACAGCTGGTGACAGCTGACATATGAGCCCAGGCTCATCTGATGGCCCAGCCCACGCACTATCACATTGGCCCATCTATCCCATGAGGTCAAAATAATGACCCAACACCGGCAGAAGGACCAGCGCCACTTTGTTACCAGCCCTGCCTTCTTGGTCCTCAGACAGGAGCCACCTCTGCCTAGCTGCAAGTGAGGATGGGGTCAGGGTTCTTGGGGTTTGTTTAAACAGTGGTCTCGCACTGTCTTCCAACCCATTCAACCTCAGAAGACCAGCTTTTTAGGCCGATTTTGATCAGCGAGGATAACTGTNTTGTTACCAGCCCTGCCTTCTTGGTCCTCAGACAGGAGCCACCTCTGCCTAGCTGCAAGTGAGGATGGGGTCAGGGTTCTTGGGGTTTGTTTAAACAGTGGTCTCGCACTGTCTTCCAACCCATTCAACCTCAGAAGACCAGCTTTTTAGGCCGATTTTGATCAGCGAGGATAACTGTTTTGATCCTCATTACCTTGTAGCAGAACCCGTCACCATCTGCAACTCCTTTTGGCTAGATCCAAGTTCAGGACAAAAATCAACAGTGAATGCTGGTGACTGTCCAACAAGACCGACTCTGGTTCCCCCACTAAACCTTCACTTGCAAATTCAGCCTCAAGGACCCAAGGAAAGTCCTATTTCTTCTCACTGCCTCAGAGCCCTATAAAATGGCAGTAGTAAGGCTGATTTGTGCACGTTTTGGAACAAATTATTTTTGTCATTGAAGTATAAAAGCTATTAGTACTCTAATGATAGTCCTTATGTAACATGATAATTAGAACAAAGTAACATCATAAAGGAGTCAGCAAGCAATATAATAGCAATGACCAACTGTAAGAAATCAGAAGATAACTGGACTCAATTTATTCCTTTATGCAATAAAGGTATTCCTTCCTTCAGCTGCTTTGGGACCCTGTAAGCCAGAGTCCTTGACTAGACCCTGTACCTTGGCCAGCTCTGAAACCCTCAGGGAGCTTCCAATACCATGGTTTTTTCCTGAATTCTTGGCAAGCTTTCTCATACTGGTGGGCCAGTCTGATGCACTGAACTTTCTTTCTTTGTGTCCACAGATTTTGAGCCATATAAATTCATTAACTGCAGATTTCAAAACAGCACATTTTTGTACAATAAGACAGGATGCCAGTTTACCTTTGATGATGACTATAGTGCCTACTGGATTTATTTTGTCAACTTCCTGGGGACATTGGCAGTGTTGCCAGGGAACATCGTGTCTGCTCTCCTGATGGACAGAATTGGGCGCTTAACGATGCTAGGTATGTGCTTGGTTTCATGTAACACATAGAAGGTGCCCTTGTGATCTAGAGGGAGCCTGTCTCCTGCTATCCTCCCCACCCCCCTAGGATTTGCATCCCACAGAAATGAGGAGAAATCTCTTAAGACCTTTCATTAAGACTAAATTTTAGTAAAAAAAAAAAAAAAGTCCAATTACATCTCATTTGAACCACTTCTGTGAGTTAACAAACTGAAAAACTAATTATGTGTGACTAATGTCTATTTTTCTACTTAGGTAGCTGAGTAATTGGTGATGTGTGTTTCATGCTTGCTGTGTGCAGAAGGTAGTTGAGAAGTAAAGCTTAAATACAGATAAATAGCCCTGTAGCTGAGCTTTTTAAACCCAGGCTGCAGTTTCCTCTTGGGATTCAGTTTTGCTGTGAGATCTCGGAGAACCAGGGGTCCTTGCTCTACTCAGATGACGGGAAACACCCCCACCTTTTGTCTGCTTCGTTGGCAGGTGGCTCTATGGTGCTTTCGGGGATCAGTTGTTTCTTCCTTTGGTTTGGCACCAGTGAATCCATGATGATAGGCATGCTGTGTCTGTACAATGGGTTGACCATCTCAGCCTGGAACTCTCTTGATGTGGTCACCGTGGAGCTGTACCCTACAGATCGGAGGTATGTTGAAATGGGCCTGCAGCGAGAGGTGCTTTGAGCCCCACTGGACCACTGAAAATCATCCAAACTGTCATTTCCTCCCCAAAGCAAAAATCCAAAGAAAAATATCTGGCTTGTGAAGTTGTAGGTTCTGTTCATATCTTTCATTTATTCTTCATTTTTTTAATAAGGCCAAACATGATTTCTTCTTCATTGACTATTACACTGAGTATCATAAAAATGTTATTACTTTGAAAACAGTTTGTAGATTAGTTTCACAGTTTGAAAACATTCCTGGGGATTCATGATGATTGCTGAGAAGGGACAATCATGAATTCAGTGCTAAATATTACGTTGGAATAGTTACAATGGAAGTTGTTCCCAGATCTTTACAGCTAGATTTTATTTACAACTAGATATTTTTATAGCAATATATGTATATATAGTTAATTATATATAATATGTGTATTATATAGTTAAACATATATTCAGTATTAGCATTAAATAGATATACTAAATATTATAATTACATTTAACTGTAATGTGCTATGGGAAAATGAGGCTTGCCTAGGAACTGTGAAGGCTTTTGAGTGTACGTGAGTATTTAATTTATTTGACATTAATAACACTGAAGTAACACTTTGAAGATTTTTTTTGTTTGTTTATTTTGGCTGTGCTGGGTCTTTGTTGCAGGCTTTTCTCTAGTTACGGGCAGTGGGGGCTGCTCTCTAGCTGCAGTGCCCCAGCTTCTCATTGCAGAGGCTTCTCTTGTTGGGGAGCGTGGGCTTAGGGCACGCAGGCTTCAGTATGCAGCATGTGGGTTTGGTAAGTAGCCACTGTTCCCAGGCTCTCAAGCACAGGCTCAACAGTCGTGGCACCTGGGCTTACTTGCTCTGATGCACGTGGCATCTTCCCGGATCAGCGATTGAACCCATGTCTCCTGCATTGGTAGCTGGATTCTTTACCACTGAGCCACCAAGGAAGCTCTGAAGGTTTTTTTTTTTAAACCTGATTTTTTTTTTTGAGGTATAGTTGATGTTCAATATATATAAGTTTCAGATGTACAACATAGTGACTCACAACTTTTAAAGGTTATAGCCATTTATAGTTATTAGAAGATATTGGCTGTATTCCACGTGTAATGCAATATGTCCTTGCGCTTATTTATTTTCTACATATACTCATATATTTTTAAAAGAACATGTGGGGGAATATAGTTGCTAGCAGGAGTTCCCCGGGCGATGAAGCCAGTGAAGGGAGTTAACTGTGACCGTGACTTAGCTTGCTGGCTCTGAGGAAACTGTAGTGAAACAGGGAGGGATCGGCTGCAACAGCCTCTGTGGACCCCTCATCAGTCCTGAGAGGGTCTTTACCTCATGTTTGCAAATGCCTAGATGAGCTCTGCGTTAAGGCAACACAGACAGATCTCCACAACACACCTCTTGACCTTCCTGGTCTGTTGAAGGGAAGCCCAACACATTTCCAGTGCCCACAAAAAGATCACCATTAGAATAAAATTATGCATCTGTTCCCAAAATGGAAACATACAGACTGCACTTCATATCATAAAAAGGACTGGACAGCAGGGCTTTGGGTGGAGCTTCAGCAGCCGATTCGTGAAAAGAATAGAAGCCCTGTTTTGCAGTTTGCCACACGTGAAGGCAAATGGTCTTTGCCTTTTATTTTGTGCCTGCTGTGTCGCCATGGAGCCCTGTCTGCTAAAGCATGGAGTCAGGATTCTCTGGACTTTGAGGTGGAGGAGGGTTTTTCCTAGGACAGTGTAGAGAAATTTGGGATATCAATTTTCAACTGATCCCAAGTCCCTCCTTTTATTTATTGGCCACAATGGGGTAAATTCGCTGCACACTACATTCTTTAATTTATATTTCTTCTTCATGAATTTCTATTACCAAGCTTACAGGAACCCTATATATCCTCCTGTATCCGTCTCTCTGCAGAACATTGGGAACTCTGATGGACTTCTCCTTATCAGATATTCTAATCAGTAACCTCCTGTTGATGACTTAGGCTCTGAAAGAGACCATGAGACCCATGTCTAACATCTTCCTTCTTTCAACCAACAGTACTTCTCTTTTGTGGGCAAGCTTCTGGGATGGATGTCATGGATCTTGGATGAGGGTGCTGCCAAAGCAAGATAACATTCTGCAGCTTTCTTTCTTGCTCATTCTCTAAACTGGGCCCAGATGTGGATTAAACTAGACATTTAAACTAAGCCCCTCCATGTTAAAGCAAAGTTATTTCATAGACTGAGACCTTTAATTTTGCATTATAAAAGTTTGATACTATTTTAGATGAATCAGCCCCTTATCCCTCTGCTCTAGAATGAAAGGATGAAGGATGAGTACTCTCCTGTGGCAGGAACCTGGCTTAAAAACAAAACACCATGAACTGGGCAGGTCATCCATGGGAATCAGCGACCTGCTGTGTTTCTGTTCTCAGAAAGGTTAAACATCTAGCAAGATAAAGATAGAAATTGCTCTGTGTATTAGTTCAGGATCTCTGAGAAGCAGCAGACAAAATGGGATTAAACATGCACAGATTTGGTTAGAGGAAATGCAAGTTATGAGAGAAAACAGGGAAAGAGATGTAGTCTGGCCACAATGCAAGCCTGAGCCCCGTGAAAGAGTAAAGAAGGAAGACCAGTTGGGTGGAAGAGTTCCAGGCCTCCAGTGAGCAGTCTCAGGAAGGCTTGGCATGGCTATGCTAAAAGTCGCTTCGGAGGAGTCCTGCTTGTCCTGGGCACCAGCCTGCCATAGTATTCCTCTTACTTTCAGTTACTGGAGCAGTGAAACGGAAATGCATTTCAGAGCATGGCAGCTGGACCAGGACTCAGAAATCGGCAAAGTGCATCCTCACTTTGACAGTGCTGCTGCTAGCAAATATTCTCCACCACTTAAGTTGATGTTACCAGATAACATACAGGAAGTCACTTTCTTAAATGATGGAGAGAGAACTTATCTGCCAGAACTGCATTGCTGGCACCATAATGAATTAGCTGGCACAATCTACGCTGTTTCAGGCTAAAACCTTCTCTCCTATATCTGCTGCGTTCTCTGAGTCTCATGGGAGGGCTCCACCGAACTGTGGCTCAGCTGCTAGAGGTAAACTCCAAGTGTTTTGTGTGTGGTACCCTCTGACTTCCTCTCCCTGTGGAAGGTGGATAGAATACATCCTGACAAACACTTCTAGTTAGAGGCTATAATTGTTTCATACCAGAACTTTAGCACTGTCAGATCCTTGCCCAGTTTCTAGAATCTGTCCTTAATGATCAGAAAAGAAAACTCTGATTCCAGACCCCAGACTAAAAAGTAACCTCTTGAGCCATTTAATAGCCAACTCCTATCAGAATCCCAGGGCAAATGATTCTATTCGGGGAACATAACTTAGGATATAATCTAAGTGCTATAAAAGTTGCAACACTTGAAAGCCACACTTGTCACCCACAGTATAGGCTTGATCTGTGATGTTATACCTCTGACTTTTGGTAGGGGTTACATTTGCATTTACTGTGAAAGCACCGTTCATCTCTATAGAGCTTGCCACTGGATCTGCAGGGCATTTCAGGACCTGCTCTAGAGAGGCACTCTGTCTCTTCACTTCATGTGATAAAAATTAGTAATTGTTAACATTCCCTTCCCTGCTGTGCATCAAGAGACAAGAGTGTCTGTGTCAGTGTTACATCTCCAGGGTCCAGATATTTGCTTTGCTCCTCCTCATCTTGATTTGCACTCTCGTATTCCTATATTATTAGTTTTGTCTTTTATGCGTGCATGCATGCTAAGTCACTTAATTTGTGTCCGACTCCTTGCAACCCTATGGACTATAGTCTGCCAGGCTCCTCTGTCTATGGAATTTCCCAGGCAAGAATACTGGAGTGGGTTGCCTTGCTTTTATCCAGGGCATCTTCCTGACCCAGGGATCAAACCCACATTTCCTGTGGCTCCTGCATGGCAGACAGATTCTTTACTGCTGAGCCACTGGGGAAACCCTTTGTCTTTTATAAGCTACCCTAAGTTGTTTCACAAAGAGGCAGGAAATGTTGAAATTAAAATTGTGTGTACTTATTGAGCAGCACTTTTTCTGTGCCTGAAAAAATAAAGCTGAACAGTCACTGGAAACACTTTAAAAGGAAAAGCTGGGTTTTTTTTCCCTCCATGCTCAATACTTTACTTTTGACCACCAAACATGGAGCTATTTTTTTCCCCAATACTAGGTAATTCTTTAATTCCCAATAGTCACCAACTGGATGTTCTAAAATGTAACTCAGTTCTGATATAATCTACCATGGAGAAGAGAATGGCAACCCACTCCAGTATTCTTGCCTGGAGAATTCCATGGACACAGGAGCTTGGCGGGCTACAGTCCATAGGGTGGCAAAGAATCGGACACGACTGAGTGACTAGCATGCGTGTGAGTACACGCATGCACGCGCGCACACACACGCACCTGGAGATAGCATCAGATTCCACAGGTTAAAAACTCCATTCCCACAAGAGTGCCTTCACTTCAGACACCCAACAAGTCAGATTATCTCCTGTACATCTGACCAACTGGCTACACATTAGCATTCTCATGACCCCCTCCTCAGATTTGATAACTTGGCAGGGTGGCTCACAGAACTCAAGGAAACATTTCCTTGCATTTACTGATTCATTATAAGAGATTACAGCTCAGCAGCAGCCAGACAGAAGAGATGTCTACACTGGGCAAGGTGTTAATAACCGGAGGAGCACGGCGCTTTGTGCTTCATCCAGGCCCACCCCCTTCCCAGTACTTCTGTGCATTCACCCACCTGGAAGCTCACCAGATCTTGCTGTTCAAGAGATTTTATAGAGCTTAATCTCCAGCCCTGTGTCCCTGATTCTCAGCGCCAGCCTCCAATCACTTGCTCTCTTCTGGTAATGATGCCAAAATTCAGCCTTTGTGCACCGGTGCCTTATCAAATCTCCAAGACAGAGTTTTGGGTGAAGTAGAAAAGAGTATAGGTTTATTGCTTTGCCAAGACAAAGAGGGACACACAGGCTCTTGCCATCGAAA